TTAGGGCCCAAATACCATTAATAGTATAGCATTTGGGCCCTAAAGCCCTATTATTTGGGTCCTTGGACACTTAGGGTAAAGTAGCAATATGTGCATAGGAATCAGGGTGTTTAGGGCTTAGGGTTAAGGGGTTAGGTGCAAGAAAATGAATGGTAGAAGTAACACAGAAGTCTTGCCTGAACCCCTGGTAGGGCTTGTTGCCGTTACTCTGCACGTTGCTGTAGAAACCCGGACGATCGTGCATCTGGAGCTTTGGCCAGTGAACCTCCCCAAGCCGGCAACTGCAGTATCACGCGGGTAAAAGAAGACCCTGAACTGAGCTTTAGGGGTTAGGGCTTGGGGAAGAAGAAGCAAAAGAAGTAGACCAAAAAGAATTCAGCAGCCACGTCCGGTGGTTCGTTCAGCAAAGCAATCAACAATATGAAGCAGTACTGTGGAGCTTGCAGTACCCATGACAGACCACACCCTGTGTAAAACCTTGGAATGAACATGGCTCTCAGACACTTCCAAGCAAAGCCCCCAACTGGTACGGAATTCAGAGGTTCAAAGAAACTACAGCTGTGGACTCTACGCGCATCCTGGACCATTCGGACACTAAGCCCTACGCCCTGAACCTCAAATCCTACAGCCTGAACCAGAAAACCTAAACCCTAAACTCCAAACCCTAAATCCTGAACCCCCAAATCCTAACCCCTAAACCCCGAATCCTAGCCCCTAAGCCCCAAATCCTAACCCCTAAGCCCCAAACCCTAAGCCCCAAATCTTAAACCCCTAAACCCCAAATCGGAAACCCCTAGGCCCCAAATCCTACATCCCAAATCCTTAAGTCCTAGGCCCCACATCCTAAACCCTAGAAATCCTAAGCCCCAAATCCTAAACTCTAGAAATCCTAGACCCTGCACTGGGAGTCTGGCGGGCTCGGGCATGGCGAGGGCCTTTTGGCGCTGCTGCATCAGGTCCTGCGGATGGCTTCCCAGACCCCCCAAAAGGATCTAAAAATTAGATCCCCTAGAGCCATATGGGGGGGTTAGGGTTTAGGGTTTAGGGTTTAGGGTTCCTAGAACCATAGGGGAAATTATGTAAGGATTATATAGGGGTTACAATGGGTCTATATAGGGGATCTTATTTTTTAGATCCTGCCAGGGGTCTGGGCTTCCGACCCCACGACAAGTGAGGTGATTGGGGGTTAGGGATTGGGGGATAAGGGTTTACATTAGGATTCTGACATATAGATAGGGCTGACATTGTACAGTTGTAGAAAGAGAGAGAGGGAGAGAGAGAGGGAGAGAGAGAGGGAGAGAGAGAGGGAGAGAGAGAGAGCGAGGGGTGGGGTGGGGTTGTATAGGGTAATGTAGGGTTGTATTGATGATAGGGTTACATAAGGATATCTAGATAGAACTATGTAGGGTTTTATCAGGCAATAAAGGCTTATATAGGGATTGTCTGAGGATACAACCACCCCTGACAATGGAGAATTGCATGGGGAATGATATGGAAACTTGGGATATAAAGGGTTTCTAAGCAAACCAAATGGAAGAGAACACGAAACAAGACATGAAAACTGGTTTGACAAAGGGCTTTGATAATGATGTTGATACTACCAGATCTTGCATGACCTTCGTGTTTCCCTAAACCCTAAACCCTCGGTCTGTAAGGTTCTCAGGAGACCTTTGGTGCATTGAAGTTGTTTCCCTAAACCCTAGACCCTAAACTATCAGGGTGTAGGATTTCGTATTGAAGACATTCTTCGCCGAGCTCGGGGCCCCTTTCGCGAAGCAAGCCGATTAGCTTCAATTTCTAGGGGACTTCTTCATTAACCCTAGGGCTCCAGTTACCTAAATAGTAGGTTACTGGGCTATGTAACTACAGGGTATATAGACTCCAGTTCCCATTATTTAGGTAACTGGAGTAAGTCATTAAGTATCTGATGTTGACTAGTCTGTAAAGTACAAAGGCGACCCGTACAAGTATCATGTCAGCACACTTTTCTTGGCAGCTCAGATCGTCCGCGAGTGCCGATATTCCCGGCGGAGGCCTGTAAGCTCCACCTGCGGAGGGCCAGGAGTTCTGTTGGGGTTATATTGGGATAATGGAAAATCAAATGGAAACCACTATAATGGAGAATCAAATGGAAAAGAAAATGGAAAATGAAATGGAAACTGAGATAATATAGTAGTTTACTGAGATCTGGTCCAGCTATGAATTCGTTTTGGAGGGCTGTAGGGTTTAAGGGCTTCAGCGACCTCAACCCTCAATCGTAAAACCTAGCAGGCCAAAGTATTGTTCCCGCCGTTGGGATTTACAGAGAAACTATGCAATCTAGGGCCTTTGAGGTCCTTCCCTTACATGTCGTGTTGTTGCAGGTATGTACCGGCACTTTGGCAAGACATGAGATTAAATTCATCTTTTCCGTAGGATAGCTAGCAGTGCTGAGTAAGATAAATACAAACTGACATCAGCTATAGTCTAAACTCCTTAAAGAGGGTTATATGCGGGATTATAGAGGGAACTGCTATAAGGGTCGTTAAGGGGGATACTAGGAGTTTAGACTATAACCCTTGTAATCCACTACATAAGCCTATATATAGCAGTTTCCATTTCATTTTCCATTTGATTCTCCATTATTAAGGGGGATACTAGGAGTTCAGACAATGGCTCATGTGGTGGGTCAGGCTATGGCTCACTATTGGTGCAGCCTCGACAGGCAACTGAGTTCGCTGTCGCCGCCAACGCTGCCATTGCTGGTAGAAATGCCTCCTTAGTGCGAGGAAGGTTACCCTTTGGGCGCCATCCGGCCAAAACTCTGCTTAGGGTTTTGGCATTAGGCTTTAGGGTATTCTGGTTTAGGCTTTAGGGTACTAGGGTTTAGGGTATTAGGTTTAGAGTGTTCGGGCTTAGGGCTTTAGGGTATCAGGGTTTAGGGAGTCCTTCTTCCATCCCAAGCATCTTGCAGCGAAACTCTCAGTCGTGTTAATTGAGGTTGCGAGTTGACCAGGATGGGTGAATAACCCCTATGACTACTATGGTACTTTCTATTCTCTTTTCCATTACCCCTATATAGCCACTATACATACTATTAGTTTATATTTTCTTCTCCGTTATCCACTTATAACCTCTGTAACTACTATAGTAGTTTCCATGTTGGGGGTCAATCAGCTTAGATGGAAGGCTGACTACCAGATGTTTTACATTTCTTTTCCCTGCGGACTACATGCCTAGCACAGAAGGAACCACCGGTATGAAGTTCTTATCAGCATCCTGGACCTCGCAGAGGGACCCAGCCCATGACTTATGGTTAAGGGTTAGGGGTTTAGGGTTAAGGGTTTAGGGTTTAGGGTGACCTGACTTAAGCATCTTCTGGATGAAGTTACAGCTGTCTCAGACCAATTGCGCGTCAGGCTGTCACAGCTGATGCTACGTGTGATTGCTCAGACCATGCCACATATGAGTTACAGCCAGTATTTCCCAAATAACTCATGGACATGGGTTCCTATTTGGGGAATATCTTAGGAACTATATTTAGCTACGAAAGGGACGCCATGTCAACCTCTCTCATGGTTGCCAGGAAGCGTCATATTGACAGTAGCTGATATGGAGGTTTCCAAAAACTGGTTGCCCTTTGTGAGGGTCCCCGCCACAATCAGGACCATTGAAATCTTGCAATATCATGTTGAGATCCAGTTCAGGTACAATGTATTCTTGTGCAAAGAATCTAGGATCATAATCTTTGTTTGGAATTAGTTAGAATGCTGCATTGCCCTCAATTTGTCTCCCATCCAAGCCAAATCCCCGCAAAGATCGGGTCAACGTATTTGGGTTCCTACACTACTACATAGTCTCCATCGTGTTGTTCTATAATCCACACGGTTGCTCCTACTGTACAGCCCAAGCCCCAAACCATAAACAGTAGTTTCCATTTCAGTTCGAATCATGCCCCGGCTACTAACCAGAGTAACCTTGTCGTTCCTACGTGGCACTTAGGACCCCCACTAAGGGTTAACCCTTAGGTACTTATATGAGGAGTATAAGGGAATCCCAAAGGGTTAAGGGTCTAAGGTCCAAAGCTAAGTCCCAAATATCCCCATTATAGCTCCTATAACCCTATATAAACCCTATAAAAGCCCCTATATACACCCTGGCCAAAGCTAAGTCCCAAGGAGGTTCGGAAGTTGCCTAAACCCTAAACCCTAAACCCTAAACCGCGTCGGGTGTCATCCCAAAGGCCATTCCAAGCAGCACCTGAGGGGGGATCTGGCTCGCAGCAAGGCTCCCCGAAATCAGGGTTGAGATTCTTAAAGGTGTACATATATATGTATATATATATATAGGGGTTTATAGGGGCTTTATAGGGTTTCCCAAAGTTAGGGATACCTATTATAATGGGGAATCAGATGGAAAAGACAATGGAACATGAAATGGAAACTGGGGGAATATAGGGTCCCTAACGTCTTAAAGGATTCTTGCACTTGTCTGAGACTGGGAAACGGCTGTATCAAAGTTAGGGTTTATGGTTCAGGGACCCTAAACCCTAAGCTCCGTGGGGCTTCTTTGACAAGGTGTGCATCTAGGGACTTTAGGAGGGACCCCTAATAGGGACCCTTAATCCCATTAACATATATAACCCTTATACAATCATTCTATAACCCCTATATCCCTAGGTCGTTCCCATATTTACCCATAAGCTACAATCGTCCCTCTCAGAGGTCCCTCCAAGAGTCCTAGAGTGTATATAGGTTGCACTGATTTGATGGAGCTGCGCCTATGGTGGATGGAGGACACTTGGGATCCCCCGAAGTGCTGCAGTTTCTATGGTACAGTGCATTTGCTGACTGGGGGTTAGTAAGGAATAAGGGAATAGAATCCCTATGTTATCTCAATATAATATATTCCACTGTTCCCTACTGACCCTGGGTAAGCCCTATAAACCCTAAAAACAAACCCTAAACCCTAAACCCGAAACCAATCACAAACCGGGGCCGCAGCCATGACGGAGAGCAGGATCAACAACCTTAGACTTACTGGGGCATGGGGGGAGTGGGGAGTAAATCTACGGACTACTGTAGGGGTACTGCATATATGGGAATTCTATAGGGCTTGTTCTAAGGATTCACTCCACCACTCTCCCGTAAGTACCAGTAAGTAGATCAAAACTCACCAGGGCCCGCACAACGCCTCAAACTTTTCCTGTACTGCCAGTTACCTACGTTTTTACAGGTTATACTTGCTGATTAGGGTAAGTTCTACTAAGCTGTAGGTAATTTGGGTTACAGGCCGTACTGAAGTCTGCATTTAAGCTCAGTTTGGCTCATGCGATCGTTTGTTGTGACGCTACGAATTTCATCGGATTCATGGCAATGTGGGTGTGTGGGCGTAACCGTTACGTGCAGAAATGTTAACGTCATCGGCCACTTGTCAACAAGTGCTACTACTGCTGATGCTTAAAAACCTGCATGACCTTAGTATACTATAGCACCATGATTCCCAGGGTATAATATGCATGGTATGGCAGGTTCAGATCCTTATTGGGTGTCCTTACTATGTTAAAGGGCTGCTGACAAACAAAACCCTCCCGATCTAGATCCCAATATACTATAGCCCTCACCTTGGGACCCCCAAAAAGGTACCCCTTCTTTTGGGAAACCATCAATGCCACTTGGAGGCCAACCCTAAAGCTTAAACTTAAAACCTAGACCTAAACCCTAAACTTAAACCCCAACCCCTAAACCCTAAACCTCTAAACCCCTTTGGAAGGTCTAGGAAGGCATTCCAGGACTCAAGCCTGCCACTGCAGGCAAGTTGCAAGTAAACATCTGCCTTCTGAGCAGCTCGATTCCTTACTGGTGGTTAGTAGGGAATAAGGGAACATAACCCCTATATGAGCTATAGTCTAAACTTCTATTATCTCCCTTAATAAGCCCTTTAATACTCCCCTATATGACTCCCCTGCAGGGGTTTGGACTATGGCACATAAAATCCCCCTGTAATATATGCCATATTCTCTACTAACCTTCAGTAAGATTCTCCGCGATGATGTTGAAGTCGTTGCAGCAGCAGCCCACCCCTTAGGGTTTAGGGTTTAGGGGTTTAGGCGTTTAGGGGTTTAGGGGTTTAGGGGTTTAGGCTGGGTGGGTATGGTTCTTTCAGGTGGAAGCTGCTCTCTTCTGAGTGCCCTCCGATCTCTAAGTTGTCCTCAGCCAGAGAGTTGGCCTTTGCCTCATCCCAGAGCAACTAATCCCTTCAGGGTTTAGGGTTTAGGGTGTAGGCCCTCCCCCCCACCCCGAGTATTGAACATTTACCTATGAGAGACTGTCTACATTGGGGGACATATCCAAAAAATAGTAGGGGTGTGGGGATGTTTAAGATTGGTCGGAAGACATTACCTTAACCCCAAAAGTATGTAAAATAATAGCCCTATGCCCATAATAACACCCATAAGGGCCATTATTTTTACATACTTTTGGGGTCCAGGTAGCAGCTAAGGCACGAGAATGGTGCGGGTGGCAGGCGGCGTTGTAGCTTAAGCCTCGGCATGTCGCTAAGACTGACTTCAAACACCCCTCAGTTGGGTGTAGAAAAGGCTAATGTAGACCAATGATTACTAAACCTTCTCCTTTTAAGGGCCTTTATATTGGCATCAGATCCCTATTATAATCCCTATTAAGGGGAGGGGGGTTATTAATCAGGGGTCCACATTATACGAGGCTGATAAACTCATACAAGCCTGGCTCGGGTGTTCAAGGTTGTTTGGGTACGGATCAAGGATTTGACGTCAGTTCAGTATACGCTGATCCGGAATCATAGGCCAAAACCCTAAAACCCTAAACTCTAAACCCTAAACCCTTAACCCAAATCATAGGCCTTCAGGTCAGAAGAGAGCTGGGGTTGCTGAGTAGAACCCCGGAAACATGTAAGGTCTCTTATAGGTATATGATATATGTTTTATATTAGGAGTGGGGGGAGGCGGTTTAGGGTTTGGGGTTAAGGGTGCGTATTCAATATCACTATCCCTGAACTACAGTACATCATTGTCGTTTTCGTCATTATTGTTTTACAGCGCTTGGATTTAAATAGCCAACCAACGTCCAGAGTAGCGCTACAACAGTCTAAGACTGCTTCGTGCGGAATAACAGGTAAGGGCTTACTAGATGGTTTAGGCTTCCAGCGTTCCGTGCTTGGCTGGGTAGCGAAGGAATCCTGACTTGCAAAGTACGGGTTTGTAAAACCATTTTTACAGTTTGGATTCCTTCAACCCTATAAACCCCAAGGCCTAAACCCTTTGGATCATGGTTTCAAAGCGAATTCACGCCTGAAAGTCGCCCCCATCTGAATAGGAACCAGGCATGACCTAACTGCAAGCATGATTGCTATTGCTTCCTTATCATTTTACAGTTGCAGGGGATGGAAACAATTTCGGGAATTCCGGACCTGCCCTTATAAATCCCTGGCTGGTAGCTTGGAGTGATGGAAATGATGTAGGCAGCTTACAAAACTGGGTTGGAGGCATGAAAAGGGCGTGCTAGGTCTCCGAAATTTCCCAAAATTAATTTACATTGCCGAACCAAGGTTTTGTTGTCTCGGAACGGCGAGCGCAAGTCTTCATATCTATCCGGGCATGACTGAAACATCCAACCAAAGACAAAACTAAACCCGCAACCCTAAACACTCAACCCCCCCCCCCCCCCCCCC